AAATAATGAGGGTGAAACAAACATAGAGATGAAAGAGTCATGGAAGAATCAAAGGAAAAACCCACACACAAATGGTCCCAAGCACCAGGAATCCCTTTCACAGCTCCTAGAAGTCACCCAATGTGTGAATGAGGGAAGAATCCTCGAAGACTTGATCAAATACGAGCTGGGTGAGTCAGGTTAGGGTTACCACGCCCGGCGCATTATGCTTTGCGCTTGGGGCAAGGCCTTCCAAAGAGTTTAGATGCTCTTTGTCTCAAGACACACCCGACGCATATACTCTTGCGCCCGACACGATGTCTTCCAAAGAGTTTGGTTTCTCTCTGTCTCGAGACATGCCCATCGTATCGACTTTTGCGCCCAGCACAGTGCTGAGTTACAGAGTGGTGCTTTCTGTCTTGACCAAGCCCAGCGCAGGTAGTCTTACACCCAACGCATGTACTCTTTTCCTGCTCCTTAGCTCCTTAAATTTCCAATCCTATGGGTCTTCAACCTCACTCCTAAACTTAATACCTGCACAAAAAAATGAGGTGAATCAAGGTATTGTCAGATGATCTTTGGGTTAGCTATATCTGCACAAATTTAAACAAAAAGAGAACAATTATATTGCAAGAGTGCATGGAGTGAGTGAAATTGTTCAATAATTACTATCTTAAAAGAAGTATAATTGAGACTTAACACTACTATAATTAATTATAATTTAAAATTATTTATTATTAATTATGAATTTTTTTATGACATGATTGTATAAAATGATATTTGTAATTAAAATATTGAATACAAATTTTAATTTTATCATCATTTTTCTCAATATTTGATACCTATACATATAGTTAAATTAATTAATAAATTAAAAATATTATATAAATTTATATTTTTAAAATATATTTAAATTTGAAAAACTCATGCATAATTCATCATTATACTTCAATTTCAAATAATTTTTCATTCATTATATAAAAAATCTAAATTATATCATATATAAATATAATTAAAAAATATTTTATATAATTTTGATTAATAAATATATTTTACCTAGAAATTTAATAACTTTCCTACAATTATTTATTTTTAATATTAAATATAATGTTTATTTTTAATTTTTAAATACTTATAATATTTTTAAATTATGACATATATTTATTCATACACCCTACAACATACGAGTCAATATCTAGTTTATAATATAAAAGTTGGATTACTCTGTATTAAGTTGACATGTCACTTTAAAATGAACTTTACATGTTGTCATGTCAGCGAAAATGCTTATGCATCATTTTGTAGTGTCTTCTTTATTATACTATATCTCTATTTATAGAAACTAAAAGTCACAAGACCTAAAAGTCTCAATCTACAATGTCACTCACTCCTCTCTTTCTTTCTTTCAATTTATGAGTTGTTGGGCTACTCTATATTAAGTTGACACGTCACTTTAAAATGAACTTTACATGTTGTCATGTCAACGAAAAAACTTAAGTGCCATTTTGTAGTGTCTTCTTTATTATACTATATATCTATTTATAGAAATTAAAAGTCACAAAACCTAAAAGCCTCAATCTACAATTACTCACTCCTCTCTTTCTTTCTTTCAATTTATGAGTTTCTCACTTTTCACAATGCCACTAGTCCCATCATCATCGTCACTCTTTTTGCCTTTTCCTTCATAACTACCTCTTTCCCAAGGGTTGCAACACCTCCATCCTTCTCCCCTCCACTGCCTTCATCTTCATTAATATCATGACTCTCCCTCTTAGCTAGGCTTGTCTGCCCCAACATTATTTCTTGCACCAACATCTTCTCCACTGCCACCACGACCTCCTCACCACATTTAAATCATATTTGTAACAATCATAATCGTATTTATATCAAAAAGAGGTGATGCTTGATTTTTATTATGGTTTCTCTAACTTGTGACTTGAAGAAACTATTTTCATATGGCTTGAACTTATTGTAGTGTTAAATGTGTGACATTTCATTTTGTAATTTTATTAATTTTATTATTTATCATTAATTTTTATTGCGGCCCCTTAGAATCACACAATAAAGAGATTTTATGTTCATAGATGGCAGTTATCAACTATGATGATGTATATTTTTCTCATTTTAATAACACATTTGTGATATTTTCTCTATAATTATTTCTTTCTTTTTCAATCTCTCCACTCAGTGTAGGTTGGGTATTTATCGGCACAAGGCTAACTTACAATGTATTTGGAAGTTCCCCGTTCAAATGAGTATTTGTCGATCTCTCTATATTTTGATGACACATTTGTGACATTCTCTCCACAATTATTTCTTTCTTTTTCTGTTTTGATAGTTATTTTTATATTTGTGTAAGTTGAGTCTTTTAATAATTACATATTAATTATTAAAATAAAAATATATAAAATAAAAATATTTCCAAATTTTTCTTTAATTTGAGTCTCAAATTATTAATATCATTTTTCTTTGATTTACACATGATAATTAACTATTGAATTCTCATATTATTTCCAAAATTAATATAAAATTATTTATTAAATCAACTTTTATATATCTCAAACAATTAGTTAATTTTTATTTAGAAAATTAAGTATAATATTTATTGTTTTTAAACATAATTTTTATTGAGTTAATTTTTCAATAACCGACCTTTTAATCAAATTGGGTCTCTTAATTAGAAATCAATTATAAATATATAACTGTAAATTTAAAATTATTAGTAAATAGTTAAAAATTATAAAAATATTTATATTGATTTATCCACTTATTTAATTGAAAATTCATCGAAACCACATTCTTTGCGAAGAAAGTTACATAGTGCTACATGTTAATACAAGTTCAGCTTGTGTCTTATAGAAATATGTTAAAAGCACAATTTTGGAAAATACTTTTGGAGTACTAATTTCACTTTTTTAAAAAGTACTTTTCAGAATACTAAAGTTAATGTTTGAGAAAAATATTTTTCGAAATAATAAATTTAATGTTGTGATTTCTGAATGTGTGAAAGGGAGATACTTGAAGAAAAACTGCATATCAGGCTCAGTATCTTTGACATTATTAAGGAAGTTGTACATGCATGTAATGTTGTCGTACATCGGTTTTACATTTTAGGTGTGTGTGAAAATTGGATGAAGGGAAGGAGAGAGTAACAATGTGAAAACTAAAAGGAGAAAGGGGAAGAGAATTATGTGAAAATGAAAGAATTAAAATTACATACTGAAATTGGTGAGAAGTGGAGAGAAGACAAAATGATACATGTGTAAATTAAAAGGTGAAGGGAATGAGATGCGTGAAAAAAAAGTACTAAATTGAATATTAGACATGTAAAAGTAAAAAAATGGATAATAAAAAATTGACTATATCTTAAGAATTTATTTTAAAAAAAGAGACAAAGATATACTTATTAAAAAAAAAAGAGGAAGTATATGTATCTCAAACCTTATTTTATGAGTAGAGAGATAGGGCCAATTTGTTCAATTTTATTTTTTTGTTTTAGCCCCATCTAAATTTAAAATAGAAGCAAAAAAACATAATGTGAAAAAAATATAAAATAAAAGAAGGATAATATTGAGTATTTATATAAAGGTTTAAATATGTTTTTAATCGCTTAAATTTAGGATAAATTTATTTTTAATCTCTCAAATATGAGTCTGTTGTTTTTAATTTTTGTAATTTTCAAAACTCTTGTTTTAGTATCTCTTATCATCAATAATATATTTGAAAATAATAGATTGAGATAATTATACACTATTAACTAGATTTAATGTGATGTTTCTACTAATAAGAACACCAACAAGTAAATTTTATGTAATAATATTTAACAAATTTCGTAACAAAATTTGAGTATAAAGACTAAAATATTTTTTATAAAAAAAGTTACATGAACTAAAGAAATTAAATTTAAATTTAAGAAATTAAAAATAAATTTTAAAAAGAATATTTAAACAAGGAATTTGCGCAGGTAATTATGCCACATGGAAGCATTCAAAGGTTTAGATGTTCTAAGTTCTAACGATTTTTAATACAAGAACTTTTGGTCATTAGTCTATGTATCCAGCAATTGGGGGAAACCACAAAAAGAAGAACATAATACAGAATTGGAGAATGTGAAGAGAGGCACACAGTTGCATCTCGGATGAAGAGTGTTGGTGGAGCAGGAAGAACCTAACCCTCAAAAGAAGACAGAATAGAAACAAAGAGTGTCGCCAGATAATAGAAAAGGTAACTCTTGTTACCAACCCAACCCCTCTCAAACCATAACTAAGTCGCATAGTATGGAACTTGGCAAAGTACCCTCTAACAATATTAGTTAGCAATTCAGCACTTGGAAGACTATTATTCTCCATTAGGTTTGGTAAAGAAATGTTAGGATATGCTGTTTAGAAATAAAAACATGAGAACAAAGTCATGGACGTCATGGAAATTGGGCGCCTAATTGTGAGAGACATAAGCATTTAAAGGTCATATGTATGATCTACACCCCAAATCATAGGCAGAAATTTGTTGTTGACTAGGATTGTGCTTTAGTAATGGACAATATTGATTGACCATTGACCAATTATGTGAGAACAAGCACTAGGTGGCTAATAAGAGAATTTATAAAATGTATATGGGAAAGCTTCTGGTCGATTTCAGAGAGTTGGAGGCAAGGGATAAGATTCATGAATCATTATTTATATATCTACTATTCTTTAAACAATGAGTCATCCAAACATGTGTGTACTACTAGTATGCATAGAATCTCCATTTGAATAGACTTGGAAATACTTTTTTTTTTTGCTGTCTTACATTATCTGTCACTGGACACAAGAAACTTAAAACGGAAAACCTTTCATAATTGAACAAAGTATTGGTAAATCTGACTATTCATTGATGGATTTACCACCTTTTTTGACTAGTTCATTCCATGTCCATATTATACGGCTCTAGTGCAAGGCTATTTGTCTAGAAATATAAGTATATATATAAACTGACGTTCAACTCCAATTGTCTAGTCACACTGTTCGCTAGTTGTAAAGGTTTTCTGTCATTTAAATACTACGAGATTATGATGATTCAACGAATGCTAGCTGGCTGATAGCAACCTGAAATCAAGGGTCACTTTGGTTTCAAAATCAATAGCATGTGCTTTTTCACAAATATTTTAAGACAAATCCATGTGAAGTGCACGGGAAGTCCTTGTGATTTTCTTCATCACAATCCAACTCTTTCCAACATCACAAATAATATTAATTGGTGACTAAGACAATATTCTAAGGTTGGACCAATTTGTAGTATATTTCTTTCTATATTTTGATCTCAACTTGTTCAGGTCTAGACTCCAGACAGGTGTGATAAATTTTTATTGAAGTTTTAGCCCCGAGTAACAAATATTGTCACACACTGAAATTTTTCATATTAATCTGTTCATATTGATAGTTGAACGTCCCTTATGGCCTGAGTTTTTGAAAATTTTAGGTACTATATACCTATTCCTAGAAAACAGAACATTCTTAATAGTATTCTTCTTTCTGTATGTGCAGGACAGTAAATTCTTAATTTGTCTGTGTGGTCTTAGAAGATATTGGAAATGATTACTCTGCATCCACAAAACTGTTATACACAATGTCTCTTTAATTAGTATGGGGTTTGTGCTTTTGCATGTATTTGAGTTGATTTAAATAGACAAAAAAGCAACAGATAACTCTAGACAACATAGTTTCATAAGGTTCTCATTCTGATTACATTTTTCCATTTCAGAGGAGACAACAAAAACGAAAAAAAAGAAAGAAAAGCCTGCTGTACATAATTCTCAACTAGTCTATTATGTTAATAGTTTTGCAGTATGAATTATAACCGTTACAAGTGAGAAATTATGTCTAAGAACACATCCTCCTTGCAGGGAATTGTGAGACCCCCCATAGGATGATGGTAACCAAATTCCTCTTCAGCTTGACTAAGCAATTCTTTAAATAAAGGGTCGTTCAAGAATGACACTGGAATCAAGAACCTTTTCATTTTCTCTCCAACATACACAGCCAGATATCCTTTTGGGACTTCTGCAACCTTGCAAGAAGATGCTTGACTTGCATTGAATGGTGATCGTCTAATACCAGGTAAGCGAAAACCCATCGTTTTTTTGTTTTTTCACACAATGAATGACAAAATGAGCTGAAAGAAGTAGTAGAAGGCAGCGAACTTTAACTCAGATGCTTTGGTAGAAGAATGATTGTGTTGGTTGTAAACACAATGGCAAATATATATATAGATGGTGGAAACCATTATGTACCTAATTGGATGGTGAATGGTTACTCAAACTGGGCTTAGTCAGAGACAGTGTTCAATAAAAATCACATGGTATTGTCTTGAAGATTTTCATCAAGGATGACATGTGATACGAGAATACATGCCCCACCTTCTGAATACATACCTCTGAATCTCATGTTTCAAACATGTAAAAAATATCAAATATTTTGTTTATATTTTTAGAAAGCAACTAATAGCTGCTGCCTGCTAGTACTTGAAAGCTATAACATCATCTTGTTTGGAGGCAAGGCAAGTACTTTAAATGACATATTTGTAAACTATTACTTAGATTACCCGATATATGACTCAAGTAAGCACAACCATTTATTTCAAACAGTGAAACTACTAATGTAGGCTGGTTTTATAAATCAAATTTGTGATGGGATTATTTTATGGTATTTGTATGAGGAAATATTTTATGAAGGTTATTTTTATAAGGTTATTACACATGCATACTCCACAATGATGAGATATTGTCCATTTTGGGACTAAGTCCTCACGGTTTTGCTTTTGGTCATCACTCAAAAGGTCTCTTTATCATTAAAGTATGTTTGTGCTATATAAGTTGTTATTTCTTGTCTTATTTTATCGATGTGGGACTTGTTTGTATCCTAACAATTTGGAACTTCCTTCTTATATTATAGAAACATGAGGTACTTCAATGCTATATAGTAAACCTCAACACAAGCTTCAAGGGTTATTTAATGCTGACTCACAACTGAGTCACAGAAACAGATGTTGGAGCTTTCGGATCTTTGATAATAATCTCAATTGCTCTTCCTGCATGAGGATTGTACATGCAACCAACGTTTGTGAGCTTCTATTTAGGGGCATGCATGGTGTGATAGAGAGTAAATAAGCCATATGAACCAGCAGTAGTTATTGTTTGAATATTGGCTGGCTGCTATTTTCTTGAAATTAAAGGCCGCAGTTGATTGAATATTCTACTATGACTATTGAAAATCAGTAGCATACAAATATGTGCATTCTCAGAAGTCAGAACTACTTTGACGACAAGTCCATGTGAAGAGCATGGGGAGTCCTTGTGATTTTCGTCTCCAAGTCTTCAGCACGATTGATAGACGTCTTTTGTTATGTCACGGTTGATTTAAATTAGGGATTTCCATAATGTATTTTGTCATTGGCATAGTTGCTAACCAACTATATTGCAGGGAATAAGGGAATAAAATAATTCAATAATAGAAAATCAAAATCAATTAAGCATTAGATTTGGTGAAACTTGCATAACACAGATTCATACATATCCTTGACGTGTTCAAACTTCCAATTGCCTTTTATATGATATGTCCTGCTTCATCTGAGGTTCTGAACATGTCCCTGAGATTATATGGCTGTAAGTGTAGTGGAAGAACTGTAGTGAGTCTCGACACTTTAATGGCTATCTGTTTGCAGTCTGATAGAGTGATTTTTTTCCAAAGAGATTAATTCTAACCCAAGTTTAGTTTCCATAATCTTTTGAAAGGGCGCTGTCAATAAATACCATTATCACTGCAAGTTCTTCGTTAGGACACTTTCCTTATACTCATCTATTTCCTACTAAAATCCAAAGAGAAGAAATGACTGATGCCTCTTGTGTGCCGGAGGTGACATCAATGAAAGTGTTTTATCTGAAGGTAATTCTAAGGCCATGAGCGGAGCCAAATTCTTCCTTAGCTATACTTAGAAGTTCTTGAAATGAGAACCAATTCAAAATGACACAATTACATACTGTTTCTTTCTTTCTTTCTTTCTTTATTTATTTTTTAAAATTCTCTTACATATACAGCAAACTGCAAAGTATTCTTTAGAAACATCCTAATGTGTGTTCAGCACTCAAGACACATGGCAAAGTAGCCGACAGAACAATATTGATTGGTAATTTAGCACTTTGAAGACTCTACTGTTCCCAATTATGTTTGGTCAAGAAAGAATAGGACATGCTGTGTAGAAAACTAGAAATAAAAGCATGAGAACCAAGTCATTAATGTCAAGGAAATTGGGCACGAAATTGCGAGAGACATGCATTTTTAAAAGATCACATGGTCTACACCTCAAGTTTTAGGCAGAAGCTTTTGTTGACTAGGATCGTGCAGTAGTTGTAGAGTATATTGGTTCACTAGTCACTATTGACCAATTATGTAAGAACAAGCAATAGGTGGCCGATAAGAGAATTTATAAAATGTTTATGGGAAAGCCTCTGGTTGATTTCAGAGACTTGGGGCAAAGGATAAGATTTATGAATCTTTATGTATATCTACTATTTCTTAAACCGTGACACTTGGATGAGTCATCAAACAATTGTGTACACTGGCATACATCGAAGTTCCATTTGAATAGCGTTTTGAAATACATTTTTTTTGCTATCTTCCATTATTTGTCACCGAATCTAAGAAACTTGGAATGGAAAACCTCAAACAATTGGACAAAGTATTGGTATACCTTTAGTCCATGAGTTTTCCTGCCTTTTCTGACTAGTTAATTCTATGTCTATATTATATGGCTCAAGAGAAAGGCCATTTTGTCTAGACATAATCTGAAATGCAATTCCTATTGTCTAGTCACATTCTTCGCTAGTAGTAAATGTTTTCTGTCATTTAAGTACATGAACATTATGATGATTCAACGAATGCTAGCTGGCTGATAGGAACCTTAAATCAAGGGTCGTTGTTGGTTTCATATTCTATGATGACTGTATTAAAAATCAATAGCTTGTGCTTTCTCACGACTATTTTGACGACAAATCCATGTGAAGTGCACAGGAGGTCACTGTGATTTTCTTTTGTTGAAAACAGAACACGAAAAATAGAGGTGTATGACCAAATAAAATATGGAGGTTTAGATTAGAAAATCTGTAAACAAAATGGACAAAAACTCATAATATATTTGAGTTATGAACTCAGTTTTACATACATTGAAAGTGTTTAATAAATATCACTTGCCTACTCAACTTACTTTTCCTAAACATAAATAATTTTAATCAAATTTACAAGTAAAATAAACTATAAAGGCTTCAAAAATATTTAATTATGACCATGAAAAAATCTCAAATGCCAACATCATCATCACTATCTAACTCTTTCAAGCATCAAAAATAAAATTAATTGGTGACTAAGACATTATTATAAGCTTGGATCAGTTATTAGTACCCGTTTATTCATTTTTACTTCAATTTGTTCAGTTAAAGAAGGGTGATCAATTTTTATTTAAGTTTTACTCCCTGGTAACAAATATTCTCGCACATTGAAATTTTTATATTAATCTATTTAGAATCATGGTTTAACGTTTATGGCCCAAGTTTCTGAAGAATTCAGGTAATATATACCTATGCCTAAAAAAGTAAGGACATTCACCAAGGTCACCAACTTTCAGCAAGTCGCAGGACAATAAATTCTTTGGGTGGTCTCGAATTGGAAATGATTGTTATGCATCCACATAGCCATGTGATACACAAAGTCTCTAAAATAAATATAGGGTCTGAGCTTGTGCTTGCGTTTGAGTTAATTTAAATAGACCAAAAACAAAGGATAACTCTGAAAAACATAGGTTCTCATTCAGATTACATCTTCCACTTTCGAGGAAACAAAAAATGAAAAAAAAGAAAAGCCTTCTGTACAAAATTCTCTGCTAGTCTATGTTGGGATCTTTTGCAGTATGAATTATAACCGTTTCAAGCGAGAAGCTATAGCTAAGAACACGTCCTCCTTGCAGGGGATTGTGAGACCACCCATAGGATGATAGTATCCAAATTCCTTTTCAGCTTGACTCAGCAATTCTTGAAATAAAGGCTCGTTCAAAAATGATACTGGAATCAAGAACCTCTTCATTTGGTCTCCAACATACACTGCAAGATACCCTTTTGGGACCTCCACAACCTTGCAAGAAGATGCTTGACTTGCACTAAATGATGATCGTCTAATACCAGGTAAGCGAAAACCCATTTTGTCTTTTGTTTCTTCACACAATGAAAAACAGTAAACTTCAATTCTGGTGCTTCGTTACAAGAATGATTTGTGTTGCTTGTAAATCCACTGGTGATTATATATAGATGGTGGAAACCATTATATACCAAATTGGAAGGTGAATGGGTTATTCGACCGTGCTTAGTGAGAGACAGTGTTCATTAAAGATCACATGGTGTTGTATTGAAGGTTTTGTCAAGGATGACATGAAATATGAGAATGCATGCCCTACCTTTTCAAATGTATGCCTATGAAAGAGACCTGTAATGGCGTGCTTCACATGTTTCAAACATGCTCTAAACATAAAAATATTTTGATCAAACTTTTGTATCGCAACTGATATCTGCTGCCTGCTAGAGTTCTAGTACTTGGATGCTATAAGACCATATTATTTGGAGGCAACCTCTTTAAATGGCATAACCTAAACTAGTACTTAGGTTACCTGCGTTACGAGTCCACAAGTGAACAAAACCATTTATTTCATACAATAAAACAATCAACGTAGTCTGGTTTTATAAATTTGGCACAACCTTATTATAATTATAAAAGATGAGGTACTTATATGCTACTATAAACAAGTCAAGCTTCAAAAGGTTGTGTAATGCTGACTCAGAACCAAGTCTCAGGAAGAGATGTAGAACTTTTGAAACTTTGATAAGTTCAACTGCTCTTCCTGAATGAGGATTCTACTAACAAAAAAAGTTTGTGAGCTTCTCTTTAGGGAGCATGCATGGTGTAATATCCGATAGAGTAAAGAAGGCATATGAACCAGCAGTCTTTGTTTTAGGAAACTAGACTATGGCAAACGATTAAGACATTGGTTAAGGAAAACATTAATTATGCTGACAAAAATAATTCAAGAATGACCGAGTATTCATATAAAAAAAAATAGTAGCCTAGAAAGAGAACAAATATCATAGTCTTTGTTTTGATGTTGTTTAACCAGAGTTGAAGGTGTTTGTTGTTCATGTTCTATTATCGAAACAAATACATCAAATGGTGGAAACTGGATGAACGCTAAAGAACATGAAAGTTCCTTGATCACAAGCTACACATAGGTATCCTGACAATATTACTGAATTTTTACTTATTTGCTTCATCTTCAATGCACTTAATGCCTTTCTTTACACCAGATATTAGTATTTTATTTTATTTTTGTAATAGTAACATACTCAACAATAATCGTCTACTTATTTGACCATTTTTAAATCTACAAGCAGTGGTTTAGCCATAAAATGTCTTATCACTTATGTTTATATTCAAATGATACTTAAGGTACGGTTAGAGAATTTAACCTAGAACTATAATTAACCTTTTACACGAATCAACTTTTCTAAAACCCAAGTTAAATGGAAGAAACAAAATTTTGTTTTCAGATTGACTTTTGGCACGTATCAATATCATAGTCTGTGTAAACCTGATGTGTTAACAAAATAAGCCATCTGTCCAAGGGATTACCAGTTTGATAATTAATTAGAAGCAGAGGAGCCAGTTGAGTTGTTGGATACATCGTGTCATTGTGATTGGAAAAGAACAAAAACGTAAGAGCACAATCTGTTCTTGAATTCGTCATTCTAATAAACATCTTTTACCCATTTCCCAAGACAGGGAAACTAAAATTCTGTAAAAATCTTTACAAGTCTAAAAGAAGATTATTATACAAAATGTCAGAACTAATCTATGTCTGTCCCCAATATTGTAAGATTTATGGCCCATTCAAGCGAGAAGTAATGAGCGGAAAAACATCTTCTGTGCAAGGAATTGTGAGACCATCCATTGGATGATCATATCCAAATTCTTCGTCTGCTTGATTCAACAAGTCTTGAAATGAAGTTTGGTACAAGTATGACATGGGGATCACGATCACAAACCGCTTCATCCTCTCTCCAACACACACTGCAAGATAGCCCTTTGGCCGATTTACAACTTTTGAAGATCATTGGCTACTAGTGAATGAAGCCCATTTCAAATGTTTCAAAGAACAAGCTAAAATTCTCAAATTTAGTGTATCTAAGTTTGACGGCCGTGAGTATGCACATGAGCTGAGTTACTTTCATGAAATTCATTCCCTATAGAAATGGGTTAAAAGATTGGGTCCATGAGAGAGAAATCACATAATGTTGTCTCACATGCCTCTATTAAGGATAAAAAAGTTCAATAAGAGTGAAAAACCCACCCTTTGAACCAAAGGCTAAAAGAGTATTGTTGGTTCAAAAACAAAAAAGAAAACAAACAGAAATAGACCTATGCAAGAACAAACAAAAAGCGTAGAAACAAAAAAATCCAATAAGAGCATAAAAATGTAAACACGGGAAAAAAATAATAGCAAAATGAAAAAGACTAAGAGAAGAGAACTTAATAAATTTACGTAGTTCAGCTAATTTGACCTACTTCTATCGAAAAGAACAAATTCTACAATTTGAAAACCAAGATCAAGTCTTTACAAAAGAGTAACCTCTTGCTTTTCTCAAAAACTCCTTAATTCCTCTAATCAGTTCTCCTTTCTTCTTTACATATTTTTTTCTCAGCTCCCCCTACTTACACTTAGTACTTTACTCTCATGCTATATATATATATATATATATATAGGAGGGTTCAAACGACACTGGTATAACTTTTACTAAGTATTACAATGTTCAATAACTTTATATTAAATGTGAATTTTATAAATTCAACCGTTAAATTGAAAGTTCATATCACTTTATATGTGTATATCAAATTTTGTTAAAATTAAACAACAACTTGAAGATAATCAAAGATTTCATATTTTAATATATTTTGAAATGAATATATTACACCAATTTTGTTTTATAAGAATGAAGTATCAAATCATCATGGATTAATATAAAATTTTGTATATATGATTTAAGAGATATTAACTTTCAATCTAACGGTTGAATTTATAAAATTTACATTTAATATAAAGTTATTGAACAGTGTAATACTTAATAAAAGTTACACCAGTATCTTTTGAACCATCTCATATATATATATATATATATATATATATATATATATATGGGTTCAAGACACTAAGATTAAGTCTTATAAAATAAGACACACTAAATCTATAAAATTAATAAAGATAGATTATGTATAGTTTGAATCCATCAAATAAATGGAGACGGACTAAAAACTATACAAACAAAAAACTTTACAAAACATATGAATGATATATTAGATTTTGAGTCATGATCAACAAATATCAACATAAAATAAAATGAGATATGATCAAGTAAAATTTAATGCTTGTCCAAAAGGCTACAAATTGTTGTAGACATGCATTATACATGTCTACGCATTTTCTTCGTATTGATAACGCAACCGAATGCTAACACATATTGCTGGCAAAAACTCTCGTGTTGATGAATTATAATGTAGTTGATAGCAATAGATGTCAAATATTAGGATCCAACATGGAAGCTTCATCAAGAGGTTGATCTCTAGTCATTGTGACATGAAGATTTTAAGTATGTAAAATCAGAGCAGAATAGTACATATTTGCAACCGCAAGTTGTAAATACACATTATCTGAAATTTGAATTATTAATTTAAGTGGTACTTTATATTTAGTTTGCATAATTGTAGTCATTTCAGGAAAGTCTAGCAACAACTGTCCTTCCTTTCTCCGCCAAACTTATCTCAAAAGTGTAACTTGTACTGGAGTGGTTGTTTCAACATTTTCTTTGCATGATAGAATTAATTAGTTAGTTAAAAGAACTTTAATTCGTGAAGCCAATGAAACTAGCTCTGAGTACAGCTTTTTAGATAGTATTTTAAAAAAAATATATTACAAGGAACATGAAAACTTGTATTCACTCTTTAATAAAGTTTTTTATTTTTCCTTCAAAAGATGATCCAACGGTTTTTACTAGGGGTGAGGATGGATCGAGTTGGGCTAAATCTAACGTTGTCCAAACCCAACCCGAATATTTGGTCCGATCATTTTCTAAAACCCAAATCTAACCCTACCCATGTTCGAAAATATATGGAATAACATTGGCTCAATCAAATTTTGATACACTATATTAATTTTAACATTATATATAGTTAAATTGTAAATTAAAAGAAGTACAAAACTTAAATTAATGTATATTTTAAAATATATAATTTCATTATAAATATAATATCATGCTATAAAAAATATTATTAACTAAATAAATATTTATTATTAATACACAATAACTTAATAAAATCTATATTTTGAAGAGAATATTGTATATTAAACCGAATTGAACATTCTAAAATATAATTCGAATCTATCCTTAAAAATGTATTGGATTCAAATTCAAAGTCCAAACTCATGCAAATCAATTTCCAATCAGACTGGATTAGTAGACAAAGTTGGGCCATGCTCACCCCTGGTTTTCCCTAACTCTACTAACTACAATTTCGAGGTCCAGATCAATTATGAGAGTCAACTAATGCTTTTGCTGTAAATAATATTTCAAAATAAAATCATACGGTTGATGAAGAGGGTTCATATAAGTAGGAAAGAGTTAAATTATAGAGCCTTCGATAAGAAAGCAATTACTGCCAATCGTTCATTCTATGTGAATCAGGATTTTTCTTGTTTTCCTTCAATATGGCAATATCGATCATTACTTTTGTGAGTACTGTACATTACTTTAGTAGAGGGTGACCAATATATCACTTGTTATTGGCACAGAAACAACTAACAAGCCATGTGATGAGGGTGATTGACTGGGGCAATGCAAGAAGCAATGACCCTTACGAATTGAGGCTGGAATTTTTTGCTGATAGAATGGGATGAACCACAAAATTAAAAGGATATTTATTCTATGGTGCAGAGAAAACCTGGAATTAGATGAATCACATATTATAGAAGAATCTGGCAAGTGCTAAGGTTGTTTCAGGAATGATATGTTAGTATTCCAAGTTTTACTCATTGTCATAGGAGGCACAATAGTGCTGTATTTCTAATCATTATTAAGTCAGATTTTGTCAGAATCACCGAAAGAATTAATGCTCTTAAATTAGAAGCTTATACCATTAACTTCGAATTCAATGAAATATAATAAAATCTAAAATGTAGTATCAATCTCATTTCATAACTCTCATGAACTTCTTTCTACCCTCCGAGGAATGGTAAAAGGGAAAAATCAGTTAACATGGCCATCAACTGAATACAATCATTTCTGCTGGTCTTATGACAACGAAAAAATTCTTCGATTGACTTCTGTGTGTCTCAATATATTCAAAAGAATCTTGCATCCAATAACTGTAATACGCAATATCTCTAAAATTGGTACAAAGTTTGTGTTTGTTCACTCATGTATTAAAAGATAAATTTACAAGATAGAAAAAGTCTGTTGTACAAAATTGTCTCAAGTCAAGTAGTCTATGTCAGGATTAGGTTCTTTTATAGTATGAACTATAATCTTTTCAAGCGAGAAGCTATATCCAAGAACATATCTTCCTTGCAGGGAATCGTCAGACCACCCATAGGATGACAGTAACCAAACTCCTCTTCAGCTTGGCTCAGCAATTCTTGAAATAAAGGCTCATTCAAGAATGACACTGGAATCAAGAACCGCTTCATTTTCTCTCCAACATACACTGCAAGATGCCCTCTTGGGACTTCCATGACCTTGGAAGAAGATTGTTGGCTTGCACTAAATGATGATCGTCTTAGACCAGGTAAGCGGAAGCCCATTGTTTATTGTTTCTTCACCCACTAACGGAAAAAATGATCTCAATGTAGTAGAAATAGTTGAAGAAAATTGAACTTCAATTGTAATGCTTCAGTATGAGACTGATTTGTGTTGCTTGTGAACCCAGTGAAAGGTATATAAAGAGAGAGGGTGGAGATCTTTCTCTAGCAAATTGGATGGTAAGTGAGTTATTCAATGGGGTTTAGTGGGGAGACAATGTTCAATAAAAATCACATGGTATTGTCTTGAAGATTTTCATTAGAGGATTACATGACACGATATTAAATGCCCCACCTTTTGAATTGAAATATAGGCCTATGAAAGAAATCTATATTGACTTGTTGCATCACTTGTTTCAGACAAATCTAAACATATCAAATTTTTTGTTCTTTTTATTAGGCAACTGATAGCTGTTGATACTTGAAATTCAACATATTATAAGAGACGAAATGTACTTGGAAGCTGTTACATCATTGTGTTTGGACTTTGGAGGCAACCTTTTAAAATGACATTATTTTAAGAGTTATTTCTCGATTTTGGATTAGATTTTGCTACAGTATTCATAAAGTATGATTGTCCCCCAACAGAGCCGAACAATACATTATTTGTAAAACAGTAAAGCAGAAGCATGTATACTTCCCTGTTTCAAAAGTAAAACAGTAATCGACCCAAAAAAAAAAATGTACAGTAAATTCATTATTATTATCACAACCGTTAAGTTGTGTATATCCTCACTTTATAATTGAATCTCATGATAGTTGGAAAATTAGAAGGAGCATTGTTATCTTAATTTCTCTGCCTGATTGACGATTCAGTTATATCTATTTATAATATACAAATTCTAAATCGCGAAATATTATGTTGATAACAAAGTTAACTTTTTCATGTCACATCAACTATTAATCTGCCTTAATCATATTTACTAATTAATATAGATATTATTTTAGCATGTTTCTCAATTAATGCAACAATGTATGTTTTCTGTATCAATATTATCAATTTTTTATTAAATATATAAATCAGATTATAAGTAAGGAGAAAGAAAAATTGAAATGTGAAATCTGTTGAAAAAGGACATTAATACCTACTACCTCAATGTCAGTTACACAAATATATCTTAAAAATATTAATGAATTTTTGCTTATGTGCATCATCTTCAATGCACTTTTCCCCCATTCTTTACATCAGCTTTTCGTGAATTTGGTTGTAATAGTAACATACTCATCAATAATCATCAACTTATTTGACCAACCCCAATTCTACAAGTTGTAGTTTAGTCACCCAGTATCCTATAAATGTTTCTCTTGCTTCAAGATCAGTTGGCTGTTAATTATCAACAGTTAAAGTGAATCCAGAATGAACTATAAAAAGACTATTCAGTTATGTTTATAATCCAACGATACGTAAGGTACTATTTAGAAACTAGCATAGTTACCCTGCGTTGTACAAATATTTGATTTAAAACCTTTTGTATGGGTCAATTTTTCCTAAACCCAAGTCGAAAGGCAAAATCAAAATTTTATCTTTAGATTGACATTTAGTCACTAATCAATATCACAGTTATGTTAATGAAAATGTCTTCTATATAAGGAATCAACAGTTTTATAATTCATAAACAGAAGTACGGATCATCCAGTCGCATTGTTGGATACAATGTGTCATTGTAATGGGAAAAAAAACTGAGAACATAATCTAATCCTGAATTTATCATTCAAATGAACAAGTTTTACCTATTTCCCAAACAATTAAGGGAAAGAAAAAAATCGTTACACAAGTTTAAAAGAAGCGTGCTGTACAAGATGTTAGTACTAATCTATTTCAGTCCCCTTCAATGCAAGGTTTAACGACCATCAAAGCTAGAAGTAATATGCAGGAAGACATCTTCTGTGCAAGGAATTGTGAGACCACCCATTGGATGATCATATCAAAATTCTTCCTCAGCTTGACTCAGCAATTCTTGAAATGAAGGTTGGTTCAAGTGTGACATGGGGATCACAAACCGCTTCATTCTGTCTCCTACATACACTGCAAGATAGCCCTTTGGCACATTTACAGCTTTTGAAGAAGCTTGGCTACCTGTAATTGAAGCCCTTCTAATTGCAGGTAAACGGAAACCCATTTCAAATAGTTTGACGAACAAACTAAAATTCTCAAATTTAAGAAAAATGTATCCAAGTTTTTCACCAGCTATGCATATGAATTGAGTTGAGTTGGTTGTGAAAGAAGACAATATATTTATAGTTTTTAGACTTTTTTGAAATCCATTTCCTAGAGAACTTATTGTTAAAAGACGGGATCCATGAGACGTGTGATCACATGGCATTGTCTCAGATGCATCTCGAGGATCCATAAGTTTAATAAGTGTGAAAACCCCACTTTCAATAGAGTACCAACGTGAAATGAAATGAGATATGCTCTGGTTAAATTTATTGCATGTTAGATGGCTACTCATTTTTCAGACATGCATTTGACATGTGTACGCGTTTTGATGAATTATAAGGTAGCTGATAGCAATAGATCACAAATATTAAGATCCAACATGGAACTATAGGGCCATGGATGAGAAATCAATTGCTACTGATTGTTCACTCTATGTGAATCAGGATTTTTCTTGTTTTCCTCCAAAAATTGCAATATCCATCATTACTTTTGTGAGCAACTGTAAATTACTTTAGTAGAGCTTGACCAGTATCACTTGTCCCAGAAACAACTAACAAACCATGTGATGATGGTGATTGATTGGGACAATGCAAGAAGCAATGATCCTTACGAATTGAGGTGGATTTTGGATGCTGATAGAATGGCATGAACCACAAAATTAAAAGGATATTTGTTCTATGGTGCAAAGAAAAGCTGAAATCAGATGAATCACATATTATAGAAGAATCTGACGAGTGCTGAGACTGTTTCAGGAATGATATGTTAGTGTTCCATGTTTTGCTACTGGACATAGGTGGTACATTAGTGCTGCAATTATAACCCATTATTAGATCACGTTTTGTTAGTATCACCAAAAGAATTATTGCTCTTAAATTAGAAGCTTATATACACAATAAATTAGATTTTAATGACATATAACAAAAGCTAAAATGTTGTATTTGTATCAATCTCTTTTCATTACTTTCTCATTATCATATTTCCAATCTCCGAGGAATGGTAAAAGGAAAAACCAGTTAATACAGCCATCAACTGAATACAATAATTTCTGCAAGTCTTATGACAACTAAAATTCTTGAATTAACTTCTGTGTACCAATATATTCAAAAGAATTTCTAATCTTGCATCCAACAAGTGTAATACGCATTATCTCTAAAATTGGCTCAAGGTTTGTGTTTGTTCACACATGTATTAAAAGGTCAATTTACAAGATAGAACGATGTACAAAATTGTCTCAAGTCAAACTAGTCTATGTTAGGATTAGGATCTTTTGTAGTATGAACTATAATCTGTTCAAGCGAGAAGCTATATCCAAGAACATATCTTCCTTGCAGGGAATTGTCAGACCACCCATAGGATGACAGTAACCAAACTCCTCTTCAGCTTGGTTCAACAATTCTTGAAATAAAGACTCATTCAAGAAGGACACTGGAATCAAGAACCGCTTCGTTTTCTCTCCAACATACACTGCAAGATACCCTCTTGGGACTTCCATGACCTTGCAAGAAGATTGTTGGCCTGAACTAATTGATGATGGTTTAATACCGGGTAAGCGAAAGCCCATTGTTTTTTTTCTTCTCCCACTGACAAAAGAATGATCTCAAAGGAGTGGTAGAAAGAAGCAGTGAACTTTAAATGTAAGGCTTTTCAGTAAGAGAATGATTTGTGTTGCTTGTGAACCCAGTGAAGCATATATATAATAGAGGATGGAAACCTTTTTCTAGCGTGTTGGATAGTGAATGAGTTATTCAACGGGGTTTAGTAGGGAGACAATGTTAAAAATAAACCACATGGTATTGTCTTGAAGGTTTTCATATGAGGATTACATGACACCAGATTAAATGCCCCACCTTTTGAAATATTGGTCTATGAAAGAAATATATATTGACTTGCTGCACCACTTGTTTTAGACAGCTCTAAACATATCAAATCTTATGCTCTTTTTATTAGGCTACTGATAGCTGTTGGCACTTGAAATTCTTATTCAACTTATAAAATTAAGAAGAACTCTTCTTGGAAGCTGTTACATCATTATTTTTTGTGGTTGTTAAGTCTCAATTATACTTCTTTTTGGACAAGACTTATTGAACAATTCTACTCATCCTATGCACCATTGCAAGATAATTGTTCTCCTTTTGATTCAATTTTTGTACAGATATAGCTAACCCAGAATTTAGCTAACAATATCCTAATACACCTCATTTTTGTGCAAGTATTGAGCTAGAAAATTGAGAATAGAAGACCTATAAGATTGGAAATTTAAGGAGTTAAGGAGCAGGGAAGAGTGATTGCGCCGGGCGCAAGACTACCCGCGCCGGGCTTGAGCAAAACAGAGTGTCACACCTCTGCAAGTCATAGCTGCGCCGGGCGCCAGACTACCCGCCCCGGGCGTTATCGAGACAGAGAGTAACTCAAACTCTCTGGAAGACATTGCGCCCGACTTAAAAGGAATTGCGACGGGCGTGTCCTGAAGCAGAGAGTAAATAACTTCCCTGGAAGGCCCTGCGCCGGGCGCAAAGACTAATGCGGCGGGTGTGTAATCCTAATCTGACTCCCCAAGCTCATATTTGAAGAAATCTTCGAGGTTTTTCTCCTGATTCGCACATTTGACGCATTCTAGGAGCTGAGGAAGGGATTCCCAGAGCTTGGGACCACCGTTCGTGTGTGGGTCTTTCCTTCGGTTCTTCATTCTCTCTTCCACCTCTATTTTTGTTTTCCCCTCATTGTTTTAAGTGGTTCTACCCATTGTTTTGTGAGGTTAGATATAACCAACGAACTCTATTGTAATCCTTACGTTTTAATGATATATATACATGTTATTTCACTCATTGTTGTGTATGTTTCTATTCTTAATGCTTGCTTTGGATTGATCCTCCTTTGCATGATATAGGTTCCACTGGGTGTTGAAAAATAACCATTGAAACTAGCTCTGAAACAAATGCCTAGTGGGAAATGTATCTAG